TGCCGGTTTTTTTGGAGAAGACGAGTGGACGCAGCAGAAAGAAGCCCTTTTCAGAACGAGATGAGGTTATTAGAATGGTCAACAATTACCCTAAGAAAAAAAGACTGCAGCAATGAAAGCAATTTTGACTGCTATCGGAGTTCATGTTTCAAGGTCAACTATTACTCGACTTTTCACGAGAGATGTGGCTAGAAGGCTTGCCGTCCCATGAAGACGCCATTGTTCAAGAATGACCACTTAACTGCTCGTTTGAAATTTGCGAGGAACTTTCTGTAGAAGCCTGAAAGTTCTAGACACTCTGATCTGTGGTCTGGCAAGACCAAACTCGAGTTATTCGGTCACAAAGATACAACTGCCATTTGAAGCAAAAGAGAAGCCTACAATCCGAAATATTATCCTCCCTAATCACAGACATAACAGAGGCAACATAATGCTGTGGAGCTGTTTTGCTGCTGAAGGCACTGGAAAATTGATTCGAATTGAAGGAACGATGACAAAAGATAATTATCTTGATGTTTTGAACAAAAATCTGAAGTTGTCGGCGATGCAAGTGGGATTAAGACACCACTGAGATTTTATGCAAGACAAAAATCCCAAGCATACTCCAATTTTAACCCAAAATTGATCGAAATAAAAAAAAAAAACGAGCTGTACTCCTGTAGCCGGCTCAAAGTCCTGTTTTAAACCGAATAGAAAATTTATGACATGAACTTAATAAAAGGCTGAAAGCAAGGAGACCATCTAATTTGAAGCATTTGGAAGAATATGTGATTGAAAAAAAAGGGCTAAAATTACGTCTGATCTGTGCTTAAAACTAACTGCAAACATATTGAAGGATATTACTAACCCTTTGATCCCTGCGATCTTGAACAATTTTAACTCTTCTGCCTGAGCCTCTGAGTCAAAATTCGCAAATAATTGTGATGCAATATTTCACGGTAGATATAAAAATAGCTACAAGTGTTTACCCACCGTTCAACCGGTGGCTGGGCATTAAGTCATCTTTATCTACCACTATTAAACCGGTGGCTGGGCATTACGTCATTTCTCTCTACCACCGGTCAAGAGGTAGTCAGGGCTCAAAAGATTAAGTGTATTGGGGAAGCAGATCATTATTCAAATATATATTGTTAAATATAACAGACAACGAATGTTTATTATGTCTGACCCGGAGCCGTTCTAAGCCATATATAGTGGCTATATGAAGCTTAGAACGGCTGAGGATCAAACATAATAGACATTCATTGTCTATTATATTTAACACAGATCTATCTATCTATCTATCTATCTATCTATCTATCTATCTATCTATAATTCTGCCCGAGCTTTTAAGTCAAAATTTGCAATAACTGCTATGCAATGCTTCACGGGAGATATAAAAAAATAGTTATAAATGTTTACCTACCGTTCAACCAGTGGCTGAGCATTAATTCATTTTTCTCTACCACTGTTCAACCGGTGGCTGGGCATTAATTCATTTTTCTCTGCCACCGTTCAATCGGTGGCTGTACATTAATTCATTTTTCTCTACCACCGTTCAACCGGTGGCTGGACATTAATTCATATTTATCTACCACCGTTCCTCCGGTGACTGGGCATTAAGTCATTTTTATATACCACCGTTCAACCGGTGACTGGGCATTAAGTCATTTTTATATACCACCGTTCAACCGGTGACTGGGCATTAAGTCATTTTTATATACCACCGTTCAACCGGTGGCTGGGCATTAAATCATTTTTATCTACCACCGTTCAACCGGTGGATGGGCATTAAGTCATTTTTCGCTACCACCGTTCAACCGGTGGGTGGGCATTAAGTCATTTTTCTCTACCACCGTTCAACCGGTGGCTGGGCATTAAATCATTTTTCTCTACCACCGTTCAACCGGTGGCTGGGCATTAAGTCATTTTTCTCTACCACCGTTCAACCGGTGGTCAGGGCTCAAATGTTGAAGCATAGAAGATACACTATTAATTGTTAATCCTCGAATGATGTAGAGATGACAACAATATTGAATTTTTCGGTTATGATATTTTTATTTTGTTTTTCTCGTTAAAAATAAATTCTTTCGAAATTTAACTTTTGCTTGGTGTTCCTTAAACAACGGTGTACATTCAACTAACGGGTAATTCCAAGATGTGAACGATCACTATCATTTTACACACGTTGCAGTTGCATGCCATTCATTCTGATTGCTTTTTATTCGTTTTGACGCGTTGATTACCAGCCGTTTTCTCTTTTTTTTCTTTTCAATCATTTCAATAAAGCAACTGACCCAAAGGCTCACTGAGTATTAGAGAATATGAGAAAAATATAATATTCGAGAGTGAAAGAACAAGAATTAAGAATATAGAAAATAACGACTGGTATTGCATCTACATTTTGGAAGATCAAAGTTGACTGGGAAGCAAGAAGCCGGAAGAAAGTTCAACAAGCGAGAAGTGCGGTAGAATAAATTGTTAGCCTGGAACTTACGATTAAATCTAGCTATTGGAACTGTTTGTACAAAGACTTACAATCTTTTATAGATTTTTTATATTCTTATAGAGTTACAAACATAGAATGTAGAAGACTGCCGAAATATTGTTATCATTATCAAACAATGTGGATTTTCTTTTTGTTTTCTTAAATCGAGTCCTTCTCTATATGTTAATAATAAGAGTAATAATAATAACAACAGCGAATTTCTGTGGAAAGTAAACAGTTTTGAAAATATATATTGACTTCCGTATCCATGATTTGGTCAAAATGTTTGCGTTAATAGAATTCAAACAGGCACTGATGAGATTATTTGTGAATTTAATATCTTATGATAAATTGAAAATGTCGAGGAAAATGGAATAACATTAATCTATCTATCTAACTATCTATCTATCTATCTATCTATTGATGTCTGTTCGTATTTATCTGTTTATCTTTCTATCTGTCTATTGATGTTTGTTATCATCTATCTATCTAGCTAGCTATCTGTCTGTCTGTGTGTCTATTTATTGATGTCTGTTCGCATCTCATTCTCTATCTATCTATCTATCTATCTATCTATCTATCTATCTATCTATCTATCTATCTCCGTCTGTTCATATCTATCTATCTATCTATCTATCTATCTATCTATCTATCTATCTATCTATCTATCTATCTATCTATCTCAGTCTGTTCATATATATCTCCGTCTGTTCATATCTATCTATCTATCTATCTATCTATCTATCTATCTATCTATCTATCTATCTATCTATCTCAGTCTGTTCATATCTATCTCCGTCTGTTCATATCTATCTATCTATCTATCTATCTATCTATCTATCTATCTATCTATCTATCTATCTATCTCAGTCTGTTCATATCTATCTCAGTCTGTTCATATCTATCTATCTATCTATCTATCTATCTATCTATCTATCTATCTATCTATCTATCTATCTCAGTCTGTTCATATCTATCTATCTATCTATCTATCACAGTCTGTTCATATCTATCTATCTATCTATCTATCTATCTATCTATCTATCTATCTATCTATCTATCTCAGTCTGTTCATATCTATATCAGTCTGTTCATATCTATCTATCTATCTATCTATCTATCTATCTATCTATCTATCTATCTATCTATCTATCTATCTATCTCAGTATGTTCATATCTCTATCTCAGTCTGTTCATATTCATCTATCTATCTCAGTCTGTTCATATCTATATCATCTATTCATATCTATCTATCTATCTATCTATCTATCTATCTCAGTCTGTTCATATCTATCTATCTATCTATCTATCACAGTCTGTTCATATCTATCTATCTATCTATCTATCTATCTATCTATCTATCTATCTCAGTCTGTTCATATCTATATCAGTCTGTTCATATCTATCTATCTATCTATCTATCTATCTATCTATCTATCTATCTATCTATCTATCTATCTATCTCAGTATGTACATATCTATCTCAGTCTGTTCATATCTATCTATCTATCTCAGTCTGTTCATATCTATATCAGTCTGTTCATATCTATCTATCTATCTATCTATCTATCTATCTCAGTCTGTTCATATCTATCTATCTATATATCTCAGTCTGTTCATATCTATCTATCTATCACAGTCTGTTCATATCTATCTATCTATCTATCTATCTATCTATCTATCTATCTATCTATCTATCTATCTATCTCAGTCTGTTCATATCTATCTCAGTCTGTTCATATCTATATCAGTCTGTTCATATCTATCTATCTATCTATCTATCTATCTATCTATCTATCTATCTATCTCAGTCTGTTCATATCTATCTATCTATCTATCTATAACAGTCTGTTCATATCTATCTATCTATCTATCTATCTATCTATGTCATAACTAAAATTGTGTTTTGTGAAAAAACAAACAAAACGATAGATACGTAATGAAGTGCCTGAGATAGATAGAAAGAAAGAAAGAAAAAGAAAGAAAGAAAGAAAGAAAGAAAGAAAGAGACTGTGATAGATTGATAGATAGATTTGTTCATTTATAGTCATGATCTTTAGTTAGCAATTTTGGATGGATAAAGCTTTTTAGGTTCGCAGTTTTTGGAAATAAATTACTCAATATTAAAAGACTATTAATAATGATAAATAACATCCAATTTCAACCAAAGTTTCCCAATTTGTGTTTCGCGGATATGGTACTTTCTTGCCTTATATCAGACATCATAGCTTCCTTAAAAACATTACTCTAGGGAAAATTAAATAACATCTGATTTCTGTAAATAAATTCAGTTTTAGGAACAAAATACCTGACGTGTGGATAACATATCTACGATACTACGAATCGGTAAAGATAAGTTTAAAATTGAATTTTATTTGTTGCTCTCTCTCTCTCTCTCTCTATCTATCTATCTATATGTGTGTGTGTGTGTATATGTGTGTGTGTGTATGTGCGTACGTGTACACTTTTTTCTTTTTTTTTTGTAGTGAAACTGTTAAAAGGGTTAACTACAGGATTTGAAATTTTGTTTTTGCTATTTTCGTGAAACACAATCTTTGTCCTGAGATAGATAGATAGATAGATAGATAATGAAGAGCCTTAGATAGATAGATAGATAGATAGATAGATAGATAGATAGATAGATAATGAAGAGACTTAGATAGATAAATAGATAGAGAGAGATAGATAATGAAGAGACAGATAGATAGATAGATAGATAATAAAGAAAGATAGATAGATAGATAATGAAGATAGATAGATAGATAATGAAGAGACTTAGATAGATAGATAGATAGATAGATAGATAGATAGATAGATAGATAGATAATAAAGAAAGATAGATAGATAGATAAGGAAGATAGATAGATAGATAATGAAGAGACTTAGATAGATAGATAGATAATAAAGAAAGATAGATAGATAATGAAGATAGATAGATAGATAATGAAGAGACTTAGATAGATAGATAGATAGATAATGAAGATAGATAATGAAGAGACTTAGATAGATAGATAGATACTGAAGAGATTTAGATAGATAGGTGAGGGATAATATGTATATTTATTAATATATACTTAATAGATCTGTTGTATTATATCGAGCTCTGTTTTATTAGCACTTGCACTACATGTGCGATTGTAATTTTATATGTATATATATATATATATATATATATATATATATATATCCTACTATTCCAGGCATTGTTTTGTGGATAACGCCGTTTGAGTAAAGACCAATTTTTTAGCATTGTGAATTTTATCTATCGGCTGACGTATTCGAGAAATTTAACTAAGAAAGTGAATGTGCTCTCTAACAGGAATGCAATCTCGCTTTCCCTTTGTAGAAGAAACCACTGTCTTTTCCGACGTAATTTAGACGGTTGTCCTATCTATCTATCTATCTATCTATCTATCTATCTATCTATCTATCTAATAGAAGTATTTAGTTTTAATCTTTTTAATTTATGGATTATATATATATATATATATATATATATATATATATATATATATATATATATATATATATATATACGATAGTCCACCGATGTTAGGCGAATCAGTTTAATGCTGTAGCGGGTGTACGGCGAGTAGGCGGTGGACCCCAAGATTTTGTTCACGGACTCTTGCTCCTTTTCTTTTTTAGAAATTTCCCCCTATTTTAACAATTTCTGGGCCATCTTCACGATAGACAGAACAAACAGCAATCATCAGATGGATACTAATTTGTTTTAATAATTACACCCCCTTTTCACACGTTTTACCTTGATTTGGATGATAAAACAGCCCAAGTTTTGCGAAATTTTAGCAGCTCAGCCGTTTCACACCTAATCCAATTGTATTGGTAATAATTACACATGATTACTTTATATTTTTATTTTGCGCGGTATTTTGGGGTATAAATAGGAGTACTTTTCTCTGGTTGATCATGTTCAATTTGACTGTTCAAAAGTAGACATCAAGAATCTCTTATAAATAAACAAATATAAATAGCGCGTAGTAATTCGGCATCGCAATCGGGAATTGCAAGAGGAACTACTTTTGAGGACGGTTAAAATTTATTGTATAAAAAATCAGCGGTAAAACACTGAAATAAATTGAAAATTCGGGTAATTTGCTTTTAAGCCCCACGCTTAGAATCTACTAAAAAATTCCCGAATAGTTATATTTACGTGTAAATCTACAGGCTTAATTCGAAAATAATAAAGAAATTTTCATAAAATCTACCTTTTTGGAGTTATCGACAATAAAGTTCGGACTCATTCGCCATTATAGGTGTTGCTTGCATATATTTGCTGCGGAATAGATAATTACTTGTCTCGATTATTACGCACGCACTGATGCAAACAACTCTAATAATGGCTGCCGTGCCGTAGACAACGACACGAATGAATCCGAAATTTTATTGTCTATAAATCCAAAATGGTAGGTTTTATAAAAAATTCTTTGTTATTTTCGAATTAGGCATGTAAATTTAGAATAAAAAATAACTGTTCGGGAAATTTTTTATTAGATACTTAACGCGGGGCTTAAAAAGCAATTTACCCGAAATTTCTTATGGAATCATTAGCATAAATTAGTATAATTTTTTAAGGTTCTTTTTGAGCCATTATTTACGGTATATATAGCGAAATAGGGCCCCCAAATCAGGTAGGTGTTCAACTTTCTATTATCGTCCGCCACCCAGCTACCCCAATTCACTTGCAGCGCGGGTCAGCCAACTTGGACCTCAAGGCCCGCGCTATATCAGTGGACTACTGTATATATATATAATATAATATAAAAAAACTCAAACACTAATATTCCATGGTTATAATTTATTTCGTTGGAATCGTAATCACGATCCAATTCATCATAGCCTACAAATTCAAAATAAACAAACGCACTTCGTTGGTGTAATAGAAAAGGGAGGAGGAGGAGAATTGGAAGAAGGAAAGAAGAAGAAAGATAAGAAGGAGGTGCCCTTTATAGAAGAGAATAAAATATTATACTATATAAGCCCTTTATATGAGAGAATTGCAACCAAAAATAATTAATTACAAATAAAATAAACTACGATTATAGAAACAAAGTTCTTAAATGTTTGTAGCAGGAAAGTGTTATATAAAAATACTAAATTAAAATACTACATTTAAAAATCTTTTAAAAAATTAAAAAGAAATCTTTTAAAAAATTAAAAAGAAATCTTTTAAAAATATGACATGAGTTAACTCCCTTAGAGGAAGAATATTTTGAATTTACGGTGTTAATGCATAACACATCCATAGATATGCAGCTGCTGAAGATGGCCTCAGATGAGATTGAAAGTATTTGAGGAAATAAAGCTTATAAAAATTATTTGAAAGAAAATTTTGGAATTTTCTACAGCCCATCTAGAAATTAGTTCGTGGACTTGAAAAAGGACTAAAACTAAAATAAATAGACATAATACATTTAAATTATTTAACCAAACATGCTTGAATGGAAAATATGCTACCTAAATACACACAGAGACACACAGACATATATATACAAGTTACTACTACAAATTTGTATATTTTGTGTCGACGTTTAAAACGCCTCATCAGGTTTCATCAACAAAGATGTTCTAATGTAACAGTTTATAATAAATATTTATTGCTCTATTCTTGTTTAAATATTTATTGCTCTATTCTTGTCCTTTTTTAAATTGATGTTATGAACGTTTGAATTTTATTCTTTTCGTTCTTTTACATATATATATATATATATATATATATATATATATATATATATATATATATATATATATATATATATATGTTCAAAATGTCTTTTAAAATATTAGAATAATTAATAATCTAATATTAAAAATTAAAATAATGTTTTAAAAATGTCTTAAAATAATTGTCGGATTTGTCCATTTCATAATGTGTGACGTCATTTGTTTACATTTGATACGCCATGAGCAGATATGAATGTACGTGAGAGATTCATGGAAGATTGAAGTTTAAATACATTAAATTCGACCTAGCTAACCGAAAGCTCATCTGTGGCCAAATCGGTAAAGGCACGTCAAGCTAAATGACGGTTCCGTATAGGATGCAGGTTCGAATCCTGTCGGAGGACGAATATTTTCTGTGAAAATTTCTCGGACATTCATGCTGGTAAATGTCGTTAATACTGTTTATTATAAACAGAGCATTTACTTAATTATTTGTATTTGTAAAAAGAATGTATAAATATAAAAATGTCTTAAAATAATTGTCGGACTTTGTCCATTTCATAATATATGTTCAAGGATGTTCCATTAAATAATATAGAAATATTATGCCTATTTATAATGATCGTTTTTAATTCTCTAATTAGCTTCTTGATGCTAAACTGAAATTCATCAACGAAGGGGCCGTATTTTTTGCTAACCCAAGTACTTTTGATCTTCTCCGTGATCATCCTCAGTGTAGAATTGCCAAGACCAACTCAATGTAATTGTAATCGTTGTGGTGGCGATTCTTGTAAACACGCGTTCTTGTAAATGGGTTCTGTCATAATTATTTCAAAATTAATCGTTGTGGTTACGGTGTTTTATAAACAAGCGTTCCCAATGCAAGGGGGGCAATCAGAGAGGGTAAATTGCAACATGGTGTTAAATGTTAGTCAACTCAGATGCATTTTAAAACATTGCTACAATACTCGTAATAAATCTTACGTAGCGTTGGTTTGTAGCTTTTGATATAGAGGGTCTCAAGAATTTGTTAAATATAGCAGACAATGATTGTCTGTTATGTTTGATCAGGAGCCGTTCTAAACTTGGTATATTTGCTTTAATTTCGGGTGAAAATAACGACAAAAACTGTCCCACAGATATTTTTTTTTATTAAGCTGTTCCTTGATCTAATCTTTCGGCTCACATGAGACATTTTCAGAGTGGTTATACGCTCATTTAATCAAAAATATTCACCATCAAAGATAATATTCTGTTATGTTGACATAGAAGATTACTATCCGAAGACAACGGTCTCAGAATAGCAAACGCAGGTCGTAAGTTCAAGATGCGGTTCTGTGACATCATTCTACGTGAGAGACCGAAATATTAACAACAGAACCATACGTCTAGGTACAATGAACTGTGTTGTGGTAAGTATGAAATGATAAATTGGTTGCAAAATCATTAAATGTAATGTCGTTTTTGACGTTAAAAAATACGTCAAAAACGACATTATTAACGTAAAGTCATTAAATGTTGCACCAACCTAATAATTTTGTTCAGTGTGTGTTGGTTTGTTTTAATGTAGATGGCCTCCAATATTTGATGGTTCTTTTTAAAGTGTGGATGTGTGAGTATTGTTGTTATCAACTAATATCCTGTCTAATATTATGTACATGGTTATTTTTTCTAAGGAATGTTTATTAGAATTAATATCAGAAAGGTGTCAGGTATTTGATGGTGAATATCTTTGTTTAAATGTCCGTGTAGCTATTCTGAACATGGCTCATGCGAACCA